AGGAGGGTGGAGGCCTCGGGCAGAGGCATCAGGACTGGGTGGGGGGCGGAGCCGGGGATGGGGGGAAATGAGGGTCCCCTGCCCAGGCCTGACACCTCTGGCAGAGGCATCAGGCCTGGGCAAGGGGCCGATCCTACGATTGGAGGGTGATGGGGGTCAACGCCTGAGGGCTCCCAGTATGAGAGAGGGGGCAGGCTGGGCTGAGGGACACTACACACACACACACACACACACACACACACACACACACACCCAGTGCACGAATTTCGTGCACCGGGCCCCTAGTAAATTATATATTGCTTTTATAATGAAAAAGGTATAGTTCTTTAGAAAGGAAGATCTAGGAGTCAGCTCCCTGCAAACTTAGTAAGGGCTTTAGTCTAATTTGCTTCAGATGGAGAAACCAAGATATTAGAAGTCTTAAAATGAAGAAAAGCATTGAAAATAAAAAAGACCATCACATTGCTCTTCATGTAAGGCTTTTGTGTGCCCAAACCTGAGTAAAGTTCTGGTTGATAAATTGCATAAAATAGAAAATGAATTGGAAAAGTTCCAGATAAGAGCAATTAAGATGGGGGGAAGTGGCATTAAAAAGAATAAAGATAGTCCTAGCCGGTTTGGTTCAGTGGACAGAGCATCAGCCTGCGGACTGAAGGGTCCCAGATTCAATTCCAGCCAAGAGCACACGCACAGGTTTTGGGCTTGATCCCAGTGGGGGGCATGTAAGAGACAGCCAATCAATGATTCTCTCTCACCATTGATGTTTCTATCTCTCCCTCTCCCTTCCTCTCTGAAATCAATAAAAAAAAATTTTTTTAAAGAATAAAGATATTGCCCTAACCGGTTTGGCTCAGTGGATAGAGCGTCGGCCTGCGGACTCAAGGGTCCCAGGTCTGACTCTAGTCAAGGGCATGTACCTTGGTTGCGGGCACATACCCAGTGGGGAGTGTGCAGGAGGCAGCTGATCGATGTTTCTGTCTCATCGATGTTTCTAACTCTCTATCCCTCTCCCTTCCTCTCTGTAAAAAATCAATAAAATATATTTTTTTAAAAAAGAATAAAGATATTAAGAAGAACTCTGCTCAAAAAAAAAATCTGGAAGAAGACATCAGTGAGGCAAGTTTAAAAGAAAAAATATTTAGGAGCTCAATACTCTTAAGAGGAAGTATACGCAAAATTGGGAAATGGAATTTTTCTAAGGACTTGAACAATTTTAGGAAAAACAACAAACCTCGACTAAGAAAATCCAGACTCTAACCTTCAAAGAATTTTTTTCCATCTTACCTATGACTTACCATCATGTAAGCCATCTCTGTGTGTACTGAAAACAACAACAATTGTTATACATAATTAATCCATCTGGCTCAGTATTCTTTGCCGATTACCCTTAAAGAATATGCCTGCTTTCCTTAATAGCAGCCTTGTAAAACTAAAAAGATTAAATTTTATGATATTCAAAGGATTCTATGAGACCTGAACTCCTTAGGGCAGTAGTCCTCAATACCCTTCCACACGCTGATTCATATGTGACCACACGCACGTGTGCACATGGATGACACACTAACATGTTCATTTTAAAAACAACAAAAACTCTTAAGTGAGCTATAGAAGGACAGTATCAAAATTTCAGCCCTAAGACATAGGAAAGGTGGCTTCACATACAGAAACAGGTTTTCAATAAATAGTTATTGATATTCAATGGAATATTATCCATTCATAACAAAGAAGGAAATCCTGCCATTTATGACTACATGGGTGGACCTTGAGATCATTATGCTAAGTGAAATAAGTCTGACAGAGAAAGACAAATACTGTATTATCTCACTTATCCAGTATATGGAATCTAAAAACAAAAAACAGCTCCCCCCTTGAAAAAAAAAAAAAAGAAGCAAACCCAAACTCAAAGAAATCAGATTTGTGTGTTCCAGAGGCGGGGAGTGGGAAAATTGGATAAAGGTAGTCAAAAGGTACAAGCTTCCACTTTGTAAGATAAATGAGACCTGGGGATATAATGCAGAACTTTACATCAGGTTGTATGCTTTATCTGAAAGTTATTAAAATAGTAAATCCTAAGAGTTCTCATCACACACAAAAAAGTTGTGTTTTTTGTTGTTGCTTTTTTTGGTTTCTATATGAGATTATGGATGTTAACTAAATTTACTGTAGCACAATATGTATGTTAAGTCACTATGCTGTGTGTCTTATACTTACACACTGCTGTATGTCAATTATATCTCAATAAATCTTGGGGGGGGGGAGCTATTCAATCATGGATAATATGAGTTCATTCCTCTCATTAGAAACGGAGACAGTAACAACTGTAGAGAGACCCTGTATATAGCATTTGCATATTAAGGGGCACTCATAAATACTTGTCTGAACAAAGACAGAAGCAAATGAAAGACACATGAAGATAATCTGGGACCCAAAACAGGCACATCTTGAGGAAAATCTGAAGGAATTGGAAAGACTGCATAAAACATACAGAAACACTTAAAAAAATGTTTAGTTGAACACCTAGTTATGTAATGTCCAATCACTAGGGTGTACACCTGAAACTAATATAATAATGTATGCCAAGTGTAATTGAAAAATAAAAAATGATTTTTTAAAAAGTGAAAAAAAATGTTTAGAAAAGTCAAAGAAAAGAACCAGTAAACTTCATTCCATTTAAGTACGCTAGTTAAACTGTTGAGCTAGAATCATCTATATTATAAAAGGCCTGTGGCTCTAACGCCAAAGACCGGCGCGGGTGGGTGGGGCCGCGCAATTTCGCATGCTGGGCTTCTAGTAGTTTCATATAAAAAGTTCTTATCCAAACAGCAAAACCCCATTATTTCAGACTTACCTGGTATCTCTGGAACTATAACTTAGTCTGAAATTAAGTAAAATGTGCTACAGCGGGAGGAGGGGTCTATCAAGTAAAAGAGTACCAGCAATTTTATAGTGTTTACCAAATTAAGAGAAAAACTAAAATAATGCCTCATAATTCATTTTTTACATGATTATAAGAGAGACTAACATATTCAATGTTAACATGTAAATAAATATCTCTCATTTAAAATGAGTTATTTTTCATTAAAAATGGTCTGGCAATAGTGTTTACTGGGTATAAAGTTTCAGTTTTGCAAGATGAAAAAGTTCTAGAAATATGTTGTACAACAATGTGAATATACTTAACACTACAGAGCTGTATACTTAAAAATAGTTGAGATGGTAAGTTTAATGCTGTATTTTTTTTTAACCACAATAATTTAAAAATGGCCTGGCAAGATTTCTTCTTCTTCTTTTTTTTATTATATTTTATTGATTTTTTTATAGAGAGGAAGGGAGAGGGTTAGAGAGTTAAAAACATCAATGAGAGAGAAGTATTGATCAGCTGCCTCCTGCACACCCCCTACTGGAGATGTGCCTGCAACCAAGGTACATGCCCTTGACCGGAATAGAACCTGGGACCATTCAGTCCGCAGGCCGATGCTCTATCCACTAAGCCAAACTGGTTAGAGCAAGATTCCTTCTTAAAAAGATCATTTACTTCCCTGACCGGTGTTGAGCTTTGGCCTGCACACTGAAGTCTCAGGTTCTATTCCCAAAGGCATGTATGTACCTGGGTTGCAAGTTTGTTCCTTATCCCCAGTAAGGTTATGTGTGGGAGGCAACCAGTTTATGTGTGTCTCTCTCACATCAATGTTTCTCTCTCTCTCTCTCCTCCCACCTCCCACTCTGAGGAGCAATGGAAAAAATATCCTCATGTGAGGATTAACAAAAAAATTATTATTTACTAAGCTAACCCACATTATTCATCAAGCTTGAAATAAGTTTCTATTCTTTAAAATACTCTTTAATTTACTTTTCACTAATTCAGAACATACTAATTTACTTTTTACTAAGGACCTCTTTTGAATGTGATTATTATTACTACCAGAGGCCCGGTGCACGAAACTTGAATTACTCTCACAGTCTGGGAGCCCTCAGGGGATGTCCAACTAACAGCTTAGGCCCGTTCCCCATGGGGAGCAGGCCTAAGCCAGCAGTCAGACAGCTTTAGCGCTGCCACGGAGGCAGGAGAGGCTCTGGCCACCACCGCTGCGCTTGCCAACCATGAGCCCAGCTTCTGACTGAGCAGCGCTCTTCCTGTGGGAGCGCACTGACCACCAGGGGCAGCTCCTGCATTGAGCGTCTGCCCCCTGGTGGTCAGTGTGCATCATAGCGACTGATCGTTCTGCTGTTGGGTCAATTTGCATATTAGCCTTTTATTATATAGGATTTCTGAGATTCAGAAATTTGACATTCACATTTGTTACTACTCCCAAAGAGACAATAAAGATCCATCACATGATATCATGATTTTTCTAATGAAGCATTAAGTTAAACTGCTAGAGTCTATAATCCTGGTATGCACTTAATGCATATAACCAGTATTCTAGAAAATGATTTTTTAAAAGAAGCTGTGGAAAATGGCCCCCAAAAGAAAGTCAATACAAGCTGAGTGCTAAGCATGAAGAAGTTTAAAAGTAATGTTCTTTAGAACACATCCATTTTTAGTAGATTAAAGAAAGGAGTATCAAATTCTGTAGTGACTTGGATCACAATTGTCCCTGTCATTGCCCGTAAAGAAGGAAAAAGCAATTCAAAAAACTATTTTAGTGAGCGTTTCATTCAGAATTTATTTTAATAGTTTAGTAACAAATTGGGTTTCATGTTTATAGGATCATTAAGGGCTTGAAGAGACCACTTAAAAATTTTATATATATATATGCTACCACATGTTTTTATTGAGTAAATTATATGCTATGGTGATACTTGTTAATTTAGAAATTTCAAAAGTTTCAGGATGTGTCCTTTAAAAATGCTAATATTAAACTGTATTACAATAAAATTCTTCCATAAAAATTGGGAGTAGGGGAAAATGAAAGAAGGGTGGGCAAAACATTGATAAATGTTGAAGCTAAGTACTGGGTATAAAAGATTCATTATGCTATTATTCTCTCCACATTTGTGTATGTTTGATAACATTCTTATAATTTTGTAAGAAATAAGATTCTCCCACAGAACAAAGTGAAGACTTGGTGAAACATACAGGAAGGTCTCCTTTATCTTGACCTTAGAAAATGAGCCAAACAAAAGACAAGCACTGACAAAAGAGAGAATATTTAGCATAAAATATATATATATATACACATTGGGAAGATTTATTTCTCTAGCAAACACACTACTTTCTACTCATGTTAAATAACGCACAGGAGAAAATCCTAGTAAACTCTGGCAATCTAGAGACAAGATCCAAAAATGTGAAGTACAGCCACTGTGTATTAAGTCTCCTCTACTAATTCCTGAACACTACTAAAATTTTACTTACTGTAAAACTTGCATGAACAAGAAAACCTAATAGAGTAATATTTATCTCAGAATCTAGGTATCATATTATTTAGAAAAATTAGTTTTATCTCAAACAAAATACTTTCTGAAATGTTTCAAAGGAAACATTTAAAATAACCAAAAGAAAAAAAATCTGCATCATGTTTTAGTGTAATAAATTTATAATTCTACTGAGTCAAGATCAAACTTTATTTTTCATCTTAGGATCACCAACTCCAATTTCCTGGCTGCTGATTCACATAGATCAGTAGCAGCCAGAACAAAAATGACACGGGGCAGGGTCATCTCCCACAACCCATCTGCTTCCTCTCTTAATGGTTTGATTCTACTTCATCTTTTCTCTACCCCACCCCCTTTTGGAGCTGCAAGCCTTCTGCTGGTGCTGAGTGCATATGCAACTAGAAGCAACAGTACAAACTGTGTTAGAGAAATGGGAGACAGCTGATAACTCTAAAAAACTATATACTAGCAAGATTCTTTATTATGACCTATGACAAAGAGTTAGTTACATACAATCAAACTATATGATTCTTGCGGAAAAAAATTGCCTGTATTAAAATCATTGTTAATCAATTAATGAACTTTAAGATGGACAGATATTTTACTTTTATTTTCCTCAATTTATCTTCAACATAGTAAATAAACTAAAATATTTAAAACTCTTCCTGCCGAAACCGGTTTGGCCCAGTGGATAGAGTGTCGGCCTGCGTACTGAAAGGTCCCAGGTTCAATTCCGGTCAAGGACATGTACCTTGGTTTCGGGTACATCCCCAGTGGGAGGTGTGCAGGAGGCGGCTGATCGATGTTTCTCTATCGATGTTTCTAACTATCTCTCTCCTTTCCTCTCTGTAAAAAAATCCTTAAAAATACATATTAAAACTCTTCCTAACTAAGCACACATATATATATAAAATTAGACACAAAGGAATTTGAGAACAAG